TGGGGAGGTGAGAGGGGGCGGGCCTTCTCGGAAGGCTTCCAAGCCCCCCAGCATTCCGAGAAGTGTTCCGAGCCTGCTCCAGATTTCGTAATAAAAGGGAGGGGGATCTCATTTCGGGGGGGGTCTCTTCCAGGCTATCTTGGAGGGCCTGGGGGGGTCTGGGGACGATGCCTTTGAGGGTTCTCCCAGGGGGGGGGTCTAAAACTTCTCGTCTGGGAGGGTTGGGACCCCCTCCCTGTTACTACGAAATCTGGAGTACCCGAAGACACGGAGGAAGCCTCTCAGAGGGCCAGAGGCCTGCTGAGAGGTCCCGCCGCCCTCCGAGAGGGCCGTCTCCCCCGCACTTCCCCCCCTTCGCTGGCTGCCGAAAAAAATCGGAGGTGGATAGACCTCCTACCTGGGTAGTCGAAGGCCAGACTGTCAGATTGGATTGGGCCCCAAGGGCCAATCTGGCCAGGCCAAACTGGATGATTTGGGTGTTTCGCCAGACTGGATTCGCGTTGGCTCCCTCGCCAGATTGCCCCCGTTTGCCAGATTGGGCCTGCCAGATTGGCGCCAGATTTGCTTTGACTACCCAGACTACCCTGACACGTCGATGGAGGAATTGGCCGTTTTCGGTTCGCGAGAGGGCGTCGCAGCCGCCATTTCTTGCGGGTCCAGGTCCGTCGGTCCGTCGGTTTCGGTCCCAGGCCGTTTTCACGAAGGGGAGGTTTATTAACGGGAGGTTTGTCCACCGCCGAAAAAAGAGAGGCCCACGGTCGAACATATAGAGTGCCATGGCGCCAACATCGCAGAGCGGATGTCGTTCGGAAAACGACAGGGTGGACCCGGGGTGTCCTGGAGAATGTCGTTCCGGATTTCGCCGTGAATTTCGTGCGGATTTCTGTTTGGCCAGGAATGGAGACCAAAAAGAATCCACGCGAAATTAATTTCGTGTTTCGCTCGCCGCGTCGGGCAACAACAATCCACACAGAGATCCACCGCAGCGATCCGCTGCAGCACGTGCGCAAGGCCGGGGCAATGAGCAGTGCGGGGCCAGATCGCCTGGACCCTCGAGTTCTTCGTGGAGTTCTTCAACCTCCTCCGTTCCGGCCAGGAGACCGACGCCTGCATCAGCGACGCGTACCGGGCGAGGGGGCGCGGGGGGAAGGCCGCTGGCGCCGCGCAGAGCCGGTTCCGAGGCCCTTCTCGACGTTGGGGAGGGGTGCTGTAGGTTTAAGTCGTGCCTGTCCCTCTACAGGGGGGATATTCAAAAATAGGCACAAAAAAATAGAAAAAGTCGGTGGACGATTTTTTTAAGTATTTTTTTGACCATTTGGGGGTATTTTTTTACTTTGTTTCATTTCTCGTCCAAACTCCCCCTGTAGGAGGACAGACCCGACTTAGCTGTAGGTTCACGCGGCGATGGCGCGCCGGCGACGCCAGCGAAGGCGTTGAAGGTGGAACTCCGCACGAGAGAGCGACTCGGAAGCACCGTGGGACACGGCAACGCCTCCGGGCCCGACGGGATTCAACATTGAATGATCGGTGCAGCGATCGACTCAAGGTTGAACGATCGACGCGGTGTCAAAAACCTTTGCGCGCGTCGACGGCGCACGATTTTGCTTTGGGTTCAAGGGGCTTTCCGACGTGTTCGTCGATTCCTGCAGGTTTCCTTGCCTTGGAATGTGCTTCAGCAGCTGCGCTTCGCCGAGAGGCGTCCAGAGGTGTCCAGAGATCGTCCCGAACGGCCGTCGGGGACCCGAGTCACGACCCGAAAGCTGAGCGACGAGGATCTATGGAGAAGGGGGGGGGCCCTGGGGGATGCGTCGACCACCCATCGCCCACGGATCGCCTCTTGGGGCAAGACAGCACGGCCCGCCAGGGAGCGTGCGGGCTCGCTGTCGGGGGTCCATCGCCCATCTGCTTGGAAGAGGAGCACACAAACATAGATGTTCGATGCTCCTCGCGGATGTCTTGGATCTGCGTCAGGGCCACCTTGCGGCGCCTCGGGCGCCGCCCCTGGCGCGCTCCGCGCGCCAGGGAGGGGGGGCCCAGCGCAAATCCAAGAAATCCGCGCGGACCGTCGAAGGTTTCTGTTTGTGTGCCTTCTCTTCTGCGATCGGCGACCCCGGGCCGATGGCTCCCCCCACGAGCCGGCCTTCTCTGACGCGTTCCCGCGCACAGGGCGGGCGTTCGTGTCCGCGTGGCGCGCAGGGCGGGGGGCACGGGGAGGCCGCCGCCACCGCTCGGAGCTGCTCCCAGGGCGCTCCCCAGCGTCAGGGGAAAGCGTCTACAGTCAAGCCGGGGGTTCCTCCACTGAGCTGGTCTCCCCAATCGCCCATGGATCGCCAATGGTGTCCGATGGCCCACCCCGCCCAGCAAGGTGCGGAGTCGTGATCGGTGGCCTACAGGACCTGTCGCCGGTATATCAACCATGTATCGCCGATTCCAGGCCGATGCTCCCCCCCCCCCCCTTGAGGAGGATCGAGGAGGAGGAGGAGGAGGAGGAGGAAGAGGAGGAGGATGAGGATGAGGAGGACAAGGCGGAGGAGGAGGAGGAGGAGGAGGAGGAGGAGAAGAAAGCCACCTCCTTCTCAGAAGCCCGCTTAGATGGAGGAGGAGGACAAGGTGGAGGAGGAGGACAAGGTGGAGGAGAGGTAGGAGGAGGAGGACGAGGAGGAGGAGGAGGAGGAGGAGGAGGAGGAGGAGCTGGTCCCCCAGATTGTTGCCCCTCAGCCGAGGCCTCCGCTCCCGCATCACCCCCCTCGGGCGTTCGGCTGGGGCCTCACCCAGACACGCTCCTCCTCTGAGTGATGTAGTCTTAAGTCAGTCGTGCCCTTCTACAGGAGGGATAGTCAAAAATAGTCAAAGAATAATCAGGGGACGACTTTAAACTATTTTTGGCTATGTTTGAATATTTTTGAGCATTCGCCCAAAATCCGCCTGTAGGAGTACATGCCCGACCTAACTTGAGTCAACCCTCTGGGCCCCAACGCGCCCTATGCACCCCCCATGACGTAACATCCTCCCCCTTAGTGCGACCCCCACACTGCCGCAGTGCGTCTGGCACCACAGTTTCGTGCCGGACCCACACGGCGGGTGTGTGTGTGTGTGTTGTGTGTGTGTGTTGTGTGTTTGGTGTGTGGTGCGTCTGTTTGTGCGTGCGTGTGCGTGTGCGTGTGCGTGTGCGTGTGCGTGTGCGTGTGCGTGTGGTGTGTGTGTGTGTGTGGTGGTGTGTGTGTGTGCGTGTGCGTGTGCGTGTGCGTGTGCGTGTGGTGTGTGTGTGTGTGGTGGTGTGTGTGTGGTGTGCTATGTCATGCCGCCCCGCCCGCCCGGCCCCGACTCCACCCCCCCTTGATTAACGCCCGCTGTCGCCGAAAACCACATCCGGGCGCGCCGGCCCCAGAGGGCCACGCGGGCGCCTCGGAGCCTCTTTCGCACGAGCTCCGCGGCGGGCGTGGTCCAGTCTTCAATCGGGCGTGTCCCTCTACAGGAGGAATATTCAAAAATAGTCCCAAAATAGTCTGGGGACAATTTTCACATTATTTGTTTTATAATAATTTTCGAATATCTTTGAGTATTCTTAATTTTTGGTTCAAACTCTGCCTGTAGGGGGACATGCCCGAGCTAAGTCTGGTCATGCCTCTGGGGTTCGAGATTGCAAGGATGATGGAAGAGGCGGGGCCTGGAGTCGCAGGAGAATCAAGGCTTCCCAGTTGGAGCCGAGCAGATGGGGCCCGAGGATCCCGCCGCATCGCCGATGCATCGCCGGTGCGGCTCGATGCGGAGCCCGATTTTCTCCTCGCCGACGTCGCCGATGCGTCGCCCACGTCGCCGACGCAGCGGCGATGCATCGGTGATGCAGCGGCGATGCGGCGCTATCCTCCGACCCCATCCACTCCGACCTCATCTTGGAGGCATCTAGAGAAAGAGCATGATGATGATGAATTAATGCTGTCGGAGGTCCGCGCGGCTTTCTTGGATCGGCGCTGGACCCCCTCGGCGGCGCCTCCGGCGACGCCAGCACAGCTGGCACGGGGAGGGGGGGTAAGAATAACCCCGGCCTTGGATGGGGTGCCACAGTGAACGGCTAACGGTAGAACATCTGTTGACCCCCATCGGAGGCGTTTGTCACAGGGCGGCTAGAAGAGTCATACCCCGACGTGCAACTGTGACATGGAGGTATAGATTTCTGGCCGCCCTGGGGCAGACCTCCGTGGTGGCGGAAAAGCTTGTTTTACACCGCAAAAGTCGTCGTCACGAGACAAGCCCCGCTGTCCTTGCTTTTTCCGCGCAGAGTCGCCCACCAGCATCGTACAGGATTGTTGTGGTGGGCTCCTCCGGGGCTGTGGTGGTGAGCTGCCCTCTCGGTGCACGATGGACTTTGATCGCGCCTATCCGAGACGTCCGCGCGGAGCTCCAAAATGTTATGTTTATGCTGTTTCTTTTTCCTCGGAGTTTGAGAGTGCTTCTACCCTCTGGGCCATGGAGCGCGTGATGCCCCCTACCCCCCCTCCCTTTCCTCCCACCCGTAACATAACGCTCCCCCCCCCCTCAGTGCGTCCCCAGCACTGCCGCAGTGCGTCTGGCACCACAGTCTGGGGGGGGCCGCTACGTTATGCCCCCCCACCCCTCCCCCCCCCCCCACAACGCCCGTTATGGCCGCGAATGGAAAAATGCGTTCTTTATCCTTGCGTTCTGATTCCGGTTGCCGAAGGATTATGTACGGATCGGCGGCGTGCCCGGGGGGGGGGAAGTGAGAGGGGGCAGACCAGCGGTGGGGTTCTCAGAAGCGCTCCGGGCTTCTGAGACGCCGTCTCAAGGATTTTTTTTTTTTTTTTTTGTTTTCTCTCTCTCTCTCTGTCTCTCTCTCTCTCTCTCTCTCTCTCTCTCTCTCTCTATATATATATATATATAGATGTCTTCGGGGAAGGGTTAGGCAGCTTCTCAGGGAGCAGGAGCCAGGAGGCCCGCCGCCTCCGCCTTCGGCCCTGGGCTCGCCGCCAGATGGGGGGCAGGGCACCCTGCGCAGCCACCACAATTTTCTGCAGCGGGCGGCCTTCACCACCTCCACCAAGTACCTGCCGGACCGCAAGGAGATCCTGAGGAGGCTCTTCTTCGAGGACGTGCGTCAGCTCTCGCTGGAGCGGTGACGAAGCGCCCTGGCCTGCGTGTAGGCCCACACGTGTTCGAATAGATGCCCGTGTTGTGTATAACATTTTTTGAGCATCGAGTGTTCTGGGTGAGTCAGTATCGACTCAGACGTAGGTTCTCTATGTTGTATGTTTTTTGTTTCCAGGGTATTCTTTTCGGCCAAGTAAGCGTCGAGATTCACGTGAGTGTCGTAGCGAACATGGGGTCGATTGTGCGGACGTTCGCGCGTAGGCTGGCCGCGTACGCTGAGATCGGGGCGTTGCAATGTTTCTCAACTGGCGTTTTCGCCAGGCTTCCATCGTCGACCTTGTCGACCGTCGTCATCGTCGACTGCGTGGGTTTGCGCCCCGCGGCGCGGCGACCCAACAACGACTCGATTCGGACGATTCGCTGGCGATCCACTCTGACTGCGATCCGATCCGATTTCGCGATTCGATCCAGCTCTGGCCTGCCTCCCCTGAGATCCTGGCATCGCATTTTGTTACAACGGACGTTTTCGCTGGGTTTCGGGCCCCCAGACGATCACATATCGATCTGGGTCGCAAATGTAGGAGGAAGATTGGGTGTAGGCTCTGGTTTGATGATGAGTGGATTGTGTTGCGACGTCAGATCTAAAAGGTAAGCGCTGCCTGCTCCACGCTGTGTGCCGCGATGGCGGCCAGCTTACGTAAGCCGCCGCGTGAGGCCGCCAGGTCAAGACGCGTGAGGCTCTTATTCTTTCGTCGCCCACGAGACGTCATGCAGGGGAGAGGCTCTGCCACGGTTGCTGGTCGACGTTCTGCCATGCGCTCGTTACCTGAGGTTTCTGGGTGTGCCCCCCGTGCCACTGACAGCTCGCAACGAGACACAGTGTCTTGTGTCTTCGCCCCGCGGGGCCCTTCACGGCCCGAGATAGAGAACTGTCAAACAGCTGTCAATAAGAGAGAGAGGCGCCCGTGAAGGGCCCCTAGGAGCCCTTCCCGGGCGCCTCTCTTCGTATTCCCTTACGTCCCTGGCCCCCCCGCCCCCCTCCTTGGACGCCCCCCCCTCGGCCGCCCCGGGTGCTCCTCCATCCGCTCCAGCTTGGGCGCCGCGTAATGGGGGGGGTCATAAATGGGGGGGGTGGCGAGGGTGGTTCGAAAAGGCACCCAAACGGTACCTAAACGAGCCCCCTGGGGCTCTGGAGGGGCCCGAAAGGGGCACGAAAGGGGACCTTTTCTGATCCCCCCGCTTATGACCCCCCCATTAAGTCCCGCCCGACCAGCGGGTCCAGCGCCCGGCGCGTCCCGCCCGCCCTGCAGTCGCGCTCGCGCCCGGTCGGCGACGTGCGAGGGTGGCCCCCTCGCCGGAAGGGCCCTCTGGTGCGGGCCCACATGGGGTCCCCCCAGCAGTGGCCTGCGCACGTGGATCGGCCCCCCCCCCTTGCGGCCCCCTTACCTGGCACCGCTCGGGCGTGTGCGTTTCTTTTCGGCGCGGCTCACGGAGGCGCATCCCGGGTCCTCCTGCGGCAGAGCTGACAAGCACGAGGCCGACAAACGAATGCACGGGGAACCGACGTCCGAGCGGTGGCAAGCTTAAGCCGCACACCACAGGTCACTCTCGCCCACAGCAGAAGAAGCCCATGCCAAGAAACACCCTGCTTGCCTCCAGGGTACCCTGGGTTCCTTGGGCTTCGATGGTTTTGCGATGGAGAGCGTGACGCTCCCATACCAAAAGTCAATGGGCGTCCTGGGGTCTCGGGGTCGGGCTTCTCGTGGAAGGTTTCTTGTGGTCGAGCTCCCGCTGTAGGCGAGTCTGCTGGCGCTGCCGACAAGGAAGTTCGCGGCCCTCGTTTCAAGCCCCACGCGCACCCTTCTGTGCGGAGAGGCTGCGCGTCGTGGGCTGGCGCTCCTCGCCTCCTGCCCCGAGCTTGAGAGAGAGGGCCGCTGCCCGCTGTCGGCGTCCTGGCATCTGCACCTGCTGCTGCGCGGTCCTCCCCCCGTCGCCCCTTACTCCTCGACCCTCGATCGCGAGGGTGTATGGCTTCGGGGGCTCGAATATTGAGTAATTTACAGGGGCGTATGGTTTCGGGGACGCGAGAAGGGTGTATGGCCTCGAGGGCGCGAATATTGAGTTTTTTGTTTAAGAGGTTGTATAGCCTCGGGGGCGCGAACGCAACGTAATTTACAGGGTATGTGGCCTCGGGGAGTCGACGATTGTGTAATTTACTAGGGTTTGTAGCCTCGGACACGCAACTATTGCGTACTTTACGGGGGGGGGTGGCCTCGAGGACGCGAATATTTGATGATTTACAATGGTTTGCAGCCTCGGGGACGCACATCTTGCGTAATTTCGGAGGTTTATGGTTTCGGGGGCGCAAGCATGGCGTAGTTTATATGAGTTTGTGGCCTTGGGGACGCGAATATTGTGCAATGTACAACGGAGTATGGCCTCAAGGTCGCGAACATTATGTATTTTTACGTGTCCCACGCCCCCCCAGGAGTTCAGACAACGCGATCTCGGCGTGGTAAAAGGTTTGTTTGGGGCTCCCCCCTCGCGCGGTCAGCAACAATTTTCAGTGGCAAGCAGAAAGCAGGACTGCTGTAACACTGGAGACTTGAAACTGGAACTGGCACTGGGAGCATGAGAGCCTAACCTTCGCAGCCTGATGTCCCCGCAAGGGGGCCGGCGGTTTTTTTGACCATTTTTGAATTTGTTTGACTACAGTCGGCCCGGATTAGTAGGTCGACCTTGCCAAGTCAAGGGTACCGTTGTGTCCTGTGCCTCGCGACCCATGCCTCCTGCATTCCTGTGGCAGCGTGCCCCTCGGAAAGGGTCGCTTGTCCTCTCGCGTGTCCTCTCCAATCAAGTCCGACTGTATGCTGTATTTGTCCTCCAATATCCGCCTGTAGGAGGACATGCCCGACCGACCTAACGCTGGCCCCGGCAAGCAAAAACCAGGAGGGGAAAAAGCACACAGACACAGTGCATCGTCGATGTTCGAGGAAATATGGGAAAATATGGGAAGTGGGGGGGAAGACGAAAACCCAGAAGATCTGGGAAAATATGGGGAGTCTTGGGATAGCGACGACGAGGCGGACGACGGCGATGACCAGGATAACGAGGACGCACCCGACTACGACGACGATGACGACGACGGCGACGACGATGACGACGAAGACGACGACGACGAAGTCAACCATGAGGGCAGTTCTAGGTGTGTCGCTCCAGGGGTCTACGTGCCAGGTTTCTGGACCCTTTTGGGGTCCTCGTGGTGCCTCTTGGGGCACCCTTGGGGGCTCTTGTGGGGGGCCTTGGGGCCCTCTTGGGGCTTTGTGGGGGAGTCATCATTTGTGTGTATTTGCTTGTGTGTCCCAGGGCCCCTTCAAAAAAGGAGCGATGGGCGAGAGAGGGGCCTCGGGCCGCCCCGGCGGGGCGCGGCGCGCAGAGCCGGGCGGGCTCGACCCCTGGAGGGGCCCGCAGAGCAGTCTTGACCGGCCGCCTCTGGGCTTCCGTCGGGCGCGTCCCTCTACCCATCTGGCGTTGAAAGTACTCCAGATTTCGTAATAAAAGGGAGGGGGTCTGGACCCTCCAAGACAAGCCATTTCAGACCTCCCCCGTGGGAGAATCCTCCAAAACATCGTCCCCTACGTCGTATCGGCAACGCTTCGCAGCGTCGGATCGGCAACGCTTCGCAGTCTACCGCAAGGCGCTCGATGCCATCGTGGCGCCCAAGGGCCGGTCGAAGAAGCCAGACCCGAAGGTCCTCGCGGTCTTCAAGGACAAGGCGTCCGAGCTCGGCGTTCGCTTCGACGAGAAGCGATTTGGGGACGTGTCGCAGCTCCTGGCGGCCATCATGGCCAAGACGCGCTCGACAGAGATTTGACTATCTTCCCGCACACGCGCAGGAGCGCACCGCGCAAGCGGTGGTGTTTGGGATCTTCACGACGACGGGATGCCATGCATTTCCAGAACCCCTGAGATCCGATTTTGCAACATCGCCTCTCTGGCATTGGTCCGCCATGCCTTCCACAGCGTGTACGCCGAGAGTGTCTTCGTATGGCCATGCATTTTTGCACTCATTCGCATGGGCATTGCTCTCACCGCACCCTTCCTGATGTCCTCCACCACCGCCTTCTACAGCAAGCTCCGCACACTTGCATCCTCACTCCCATCCTCTACATGGCCACCGTCGCCGGACCTCCTGCATGCTGAATTTGTCGTGTACATAATATGGAGTCCCTGGCATAATCATTACTACGTTGGCAAGACGGTCGACTTCCAAGCCCGCGTGCGCCGACACCTACAGGGACTACTCTATCCAGGCAACTACAATCTAGTTGGTAACCCTTTGGTCCAGACTTCCCGCCTGAAGACCTTACCTGGTAACCCTTTGGTCTTAACTCGTGCAAGCTCGTGCAAGCTCTGCAGGTTGTGATCGTCACCGGGACTCGGAGTCAAAACGGTGTATACGTTACTTGGCTTCCCATTCACAGGACCAGGCGCGGAGGTAGAGGGGCGGGGAGGGGAGGGAGGGGACACTCATAGAATTCAACAAAATCCCCACGAACCCGGCACAGTACGTGCAGTGCCGGGGGTGGCGGACCGTCTCCCCATCCTGCCATCAAAGGGGGATGCGAAGTCCCTGGAGACGGGACGGGGTGGGCATTGGCTGGCATCATAGCCGACCCACAATCAATGGAGGCATCAAAGCCTCTGACCATCATACTGTCTAGGCTGATCCAGTCACGGATCCAGCACCTCATTTTCTATTCAATTCATTCCATGCGTAGCATGCTCTCCCTGATTGGGCCGCGAACGGGACTCAGTCCCCTGCTGGCCGTCCAGTGCCTGTCATAGAACTCATAGAACTCATGGAATTTAAAGGGAATGGGAGGGCCTCGTTGCTCCTGCCTCCTGGCTCGTTTTTCGTTCTCTCCCCCTCCTGTTCTGTTTCTCCCCTCTGTCGCCCTTCCTTCCCCCTCCCCTCCCGCTTCCCCTCTCCGCCGCCTCT